AGTTGGGCTTAGGAGACCACGTCTGTTGAGATGGATTCTTAAGATAAAGATTCTGGGGTGGGGAAGGGCCAGGAAGAGAGGTGGGGGCAAAGTCATCACAGTCAGGGAAGGCCACTGCCGCCAGAGGCCCTCAGAGGCCGGCTCTGCGCTCCCTTCCCTAAGTCTCCACAGACCTCCTGGGGGTTCAAAGCTGCTGAATCACTGGTGACAACCCAGCACCTCGGGGGTGACACAGGAGATGGGTGGGGAGAAGGACAGCCAGGGACTCAAGAACAGAGGCAACTTTGGTGTCAACTCTCCTCTGAGGCAAAAAGTATTGACAGTGGGACCTGTGGAGTGTGCCAGGGATTTGGCAGCTGAAGACCTGAATCCAAATTCTGGCTCTCCCCCTTGCCAGCTGAATAACCCTGAGCTTAACCATGGTGAGTTTCGCTTGCTCTGCCCTAAAATGGAGGTTGTGAGGATTAAAGGAGATGACGCGCATACAGCACCTGGCGCAAATTCACCTGTAACACGCGAGTTCCAGGTACCCTTCATTGTGGTGCATCAATAAAGATCACTGGAGTGTCTGCTCCCTGGAGGTTTCACTGCACTAGCCAGCTCCACATCTCTTGGCCGGCTGGCTGCAGGGACAGAAGGGTGGATGGACGGGTGGATGGGTGGATGGGTGAGTGGACAGAGGGATGAACAAATGGATGGATGGATGAGTGAATAAATTAAATCCTCCAAGAGACAGTGGCTGCCAGACTGCACCTTCTTCTACTTTCTAATCTGCAGTTTTAAAAGATAGGGTGAATCAAATATAAAATCCCGGGGGCAAGAGTGAAGGCAAGGCAGAGGCAGAGCGGGCCAGAGGGGAACCGCTCCCCTGTTCAGATGGCAGGTGGTGAGCCCCGATGCCAGTTTCCAGCTTGATTTCCTTCTCTCCGTAGGTTGAAGCTGACCCCGAGCTGCTCGTCTGCTGGACAAGGATGCGAGTGTCAGGTAGGACCAGGTTCTGAGGATTCTCAAGGTTGGGCTCTGGAACTGGCTTTAGAGTCATTTTTCTGTCAGCAGTGTCCCCCATCGTGAGCTCAGAGGTGGGTGGGATGTATCTGTTCCCAAACGGTCAGGCCAGAATTCCAGGAGGTAACCGATCAAGAGGGAGCCTGGAGAGTAGAAGAGGCAGCCCTGCCTCTAGGCTGAAGGGCTGGAGAAATTCCAGCTCAGTTGCCCCATCCAGCTGGGATCACAGGGATTGACCCTCAAGGAGGACTATTCTAGAAACATGCCGCAGGGCTGGGCACGAGGAACACATCCCCTTCGTACAGATAGGGAAACCGAGGCACAAACAGGCAATGCACACGCCCCATTTATATTCCCAAACGGCTGTGAGGAGTCAGCAGCACTGGTTTTGGAGTCAGCTTACTTCCCTAGGTTCAAACCCCACTTCTGTCACTTACTAGCCGAGTGACCACGGAGAAGTGACTGCCTTTCTGAGCCTCAGTTTCCTTATCTGTAAAATGGGGTAATAAATAGCATCTAGCACATTGAGTTACTGTGCAGATGAACTGAGATGATGTATTTAAAAGCGGTTCATACAGTGCCTGGCACAAGATGAGTGCTGTATAATTCTGAAATTTTGGGTGCCCAGAGCCACTCTGTGCCCTAGAAGATGAGGACTTCCACAGACCTGGGCCCAACCCCATGGAATTCAGGGGGCTTTCTCCCCCACCCCAAGTAGGCAGAGACCAGCACAGGCCACAGGCTGAATTCAAGGCTGAGGAGCAATAGTTATACGGAGAAGGTCAGAGGGAGGGACTAGGGTCAGACTAGGACGGACGGATTTGATTTGGAAGGCAGCGGGCGCCGGCCAGAGTTCCTTGAGCTGGGAGGTGAAATGGAGCCCATTTTCTGGTCCTCGTAAGGAAAAGCAGTGGGACAGGGAGATGTGACTGGCTCGGCCCCATGTGTGGGGCTGCTCCCCAATGATGTGGGGGGTCAGGGAGCAACCTGGCTGTGAGGCAGGGGAGGCGGGAAGCTGTGATTTGTCTCAAAGCTGCCCAGCAAGTCCAGCGGGTGGTTATTTGTGGAGGCTTTGAGGGGAGTTGATGGAAAATGTGGAAGGCAGCCCCAGCCCCAGCCACCCGGGAGGCTGCCTACTGTGACAACTACAACATCCCCCAGACAAGCCGTAAGCCCAGTGGCACGGTGTTACAGTGTCCACCCTGTGACTGAGGGACTCCAGCTCAGAGAGGCTGAGCTCCTGCCCAAGGCCACACAGCACACTGGCTGCCCTGAGCACTGACACAGCCTTCCTGCTCCAGGACTCGCCTCCCAGAGCCCACCTCCTGCTCTCCTGCTGCAGTTCGCAGCCTCAGCCCAGGGGGCCGTATAAAAGTGCGGATTCCCAGGCTACATCACTAGAAAGCCAAGCTCTGGAGGGCTAAGTAAAGCCCAGGAATGGGGCATTTTTAACTTTCTCTCCCAGAAGACCCACTCTGGGGAATGTTGCCACGTAATCTGGCAGCATGCTCTCACCATTTGACCATCACATGGATTCACACGTGGTGTCACCACGTGCTCCCATGCTCTGGTCCATGGCGGGGGTGTGGTCTGCACCTGCAACATGGGGTCTCTCCACGTGGCCTCGCTGCAGGGATTTGGGAAGGACTCGCATGTGGTCTTGCGTTGGAGCCTTGCGACAAGGCCTGGCGCTGGGGGACCTGGTATCACCTTCTTGCTCTGCAGGTCTGCCTCGCCTCCTGGCCCTCGTCTTCGCCCTGGTTATCACGTGGATCTGTACTCGCAGCTTCATCAGCTTCAACGTGAAAACCATCCGTCTGCCGCGCTGGCTCGGTGAGTGGGGTTCACCGTCGAGGACAGGGTCTGCCGGCTAGGGCTCGGGGCCGAGGACACAGGACTGGGTCATCCATCCCTGGGTGACCCAGGAGACAGCCAAACATGGCAAAGTGTGTCCTGCCTTTGGGACCTTAGCCATTGGGGGCCAGGGGGACAAGAATGGAAGCCCCCATTCTGTCAGGAAGGCTGAAGCCCATGGGGAACAGAGAAGTGTTCCAAGGCCCAGGCAACACACGTGACTGGACCAAGGGTCGCTTTGGAAAGGTGGCCCCAAGAAAGAAGGGAAGACAGAGGAGGACAGAGGGAGGTCTGCCTGGAAACTCTTCATGCAGGTCCTTCCCACCTGCCTTCCATGCCCCACTCCTCAGCCTTCAGGTCTCTGCTCAGATGTCACCTCCTCGGAGGCCTTCCCTGACAACCCAGCT